TTCAGCTTTTCCTTCTTTAGGGGTCACCAGCGAGTCATTCTCCTTCATCTCGTTCTGTCCTCTGCATCCTCTGCCCTCACTCCAGCTACCTCCATGTTCTCTCTAACTGCATCCTTCTACCAGTATACCCACTGTCCCCCTCCTCTGGACATGTCCAAACCATCTCAGTCTGGCCTCTCTAACTTTATCTCTCAGTTGTTCAACCTGTGCTGTACCTCTGATGATCTCATTCCTAATCTTATCCATCCTTGTCACACCTGAGGAGAACCTCAACATCTTCATTTCTCTCACTTCCAGTTCTTTCTTCTGTCTTTTTGTCAATATCCTTTTTATTACATCAGCTCATCTTATGAGTGAACTTCTTCTCAACACTTAATCAAATCATGGTAAAATATGAGAAACCTCCTGAATTAATCTGCTGGAAACAAACAGATATATTTGTCTTATTGATTGGTGCTTCTAATAGGTTTTGAGTTTGTATGAGTCTGTTGTGTTTTCACTTCCAGCCAAGGATGCAGAAAGATGAGTGGTGGGGGGTGTTGTGGTGAAGAAGAGATATCCTCCCTGCTCCTCTGGGTGAAGATGGGGGAGGTCCGGTTTGTGTTTTTAACCAATGACACAGAAGATAAGTGAGGCAGAGAATAGAGACATGAGACATGCAACGAAGCAGATGAACACGGACCAACAGTGAGGAAGAAGAGTCCAGTCCTTGACTTAGAATCAGGAGAGTCTTGTTTTCCAGAAGTTGAAGTTTTAGATCCAGAGGAGTTCATCAACATGTCAGCAGCAGTGATGGGTTGTGTCACTGGTTTCTTAACCTACGAGACCACCAAGTCTGTGGTGGTGAAGAGCTGGTCTGTGGGGATCATTAACCGGGTCGTGCAGCTGGTCATCATCACTTATTTTATTGGGTCAGTGAGTGATCAGAAAGGGTTCTCTTGCTTCAAACTGGTTTCTCTAACTGTGTTGTCATTTGTCCTGCAGCTATGTCTTCCTTTATGAAAAGGCTTATCAGGTGAGCGACACGGCCATCGAGTCATCGGTCATAACCAAAGTCAAAGGTTATGGTAAACTCAACAACCGTGTGATGGATGTGGCTGATTACATCTACCCTCCTCAGGTGGGTTACCCCTAAAATATTGGTTTGAAATCATCTGGAATGTTTTAATATGTGCAGTTTATTCTCTAAACAAATAATAGAGATTAGCTGTCCTGATGTGTTTTAGGGTACAGGCATGTTCTGCATCTTAACCAGAGTCATCGTGACTGACAATCAGTTCCAAGGTCGATGTGCAGAGGTGAGGACACACTTTGAAACGTTTTCCTGCTTCCCACTTTCAATGGCTTTAAAGTTTTTACTCGTTATTCTAAACTTAATTATTATTAATTATAGAAAACAATTAGGGCCATGGGCAGCACGGTGGCACAACTGGTAGAGCTGCTGCCTCTCAGCGAGCAGGTCCCTGGTTCAAATCCTGGTCTGGTGGCCTTTATGGGTGGAGTTTGCATGTTCTCTCCATGCATGTGTGGGTTTTCTCCGGGTACTCCGGTTTCCTCCCTCAGACCAAAAACATGCATTGGTAGCTCTAAATTAGGTGTGCATGAGAGTGTAGATTGGTTGTTTGTCTCGTTTGTGTCTCTGTCCCTGTGGCGGACTGGAGACCTGTCCACCTCCTAGAGGACAAGGCTGCTGGAGATAAAGAGAAGCAGGTTAATAAAATGTATGTAAGACGCAAGTTGTCCGTCCATTAGCAGATTTCTTGCTTGTTTTTCCCCTTTGAAAAGAATTTCATAAAACGTGGTAGAAAATATTTTTATGATGAGAGTGCACACATTGTCTCTTTTCTGTTCCCTCTTTCTGTAAATGTAGTTTTTATCTCTTCATGCACGTATACATCTTACACTCTTGTTGAAGAATGTCTTACCATGATGATAAAATTAACAATAACTGTTTTATTCAGACTGAGGGAACATTCCTGCATAAAAATCTAAAATCATACTCTGAAAGAAACAAAAAAAACAAGGTTTACCGTATTTTTCCGACTATAAGGCGCAGCTAAAATCCTTTAATTTTCTCAAAAATCGACAGTGAGCCTTATGATCTGGTGCTCCTTATGTATTAATTATGGTTGTGCTTACTGACCTCAAACCGATTTTATGTAGTTATTGTGAATGAGTTGAATAAAGTTGGACTTATCTGACTGTTTTGTTTCGGTAATGCGCTTTATAGTCTGAAAAGCCCGGTATGTTTGTGGCTGTTTAATGTTTTAAAAAGGTGACAGCTTCTTGTGAGAAATAAAGAATAAAACACTGCACAGATGTCACACACATGCTTACTTTTCTTAAGGTTAAATATAATCTTCTTTTGGCTTTTCCCTCTTCAGGGGTCTCCACAGTGAGTCATCATCCTCCATCTCTGTCCTCACTCCAACTACCTCCATGTCCTCTCTAACTGCATCCATATATCTCCTCTATGTCTTTTTCCTGGCAGCTGCATTTCTAACATCCTTCTACCAGTATACCCACTGTCCCTCCTCTGGACATGTCCAAACCATCTCAGTCTGGTCTCTCTAACTTTATCTCCCATTTATTCAGCATGTGCTCTGTAACAATAATAATAATAATATAATAATGATAATCTCTGACTTTACGGCAGTGATGGATTCATAAAATGAACCACACTGTGGGTTCAGACTGGCAGCACTCACTGGTTTAAAATGGGAACAAGCCTAAAATCAAACAATAAAAACAATTTCTATGCATGAATTATATATTTCCCTTCTTGTCAAAGAAGAAACGAATGCTCACTGTAAAATGTAGTTTAATTGTTTAACTTGTTGGTTAAATCAAGAACATCAGTGGAAAAACTTTCTATAAAGTTCACACTTGTTCTTAGTGTCTTACACCATTTGACCGGTGCATTAGGATTATGCACATACATAATGATAAATGTGTAAATGTAACACTTTATGTAATAAAATGCACTCTGTTGTCCTTGGTAAACCTTGTTGCCTTGTGCATTTAATTAAAAAAATCTATTATTTGTACCATTTTGTTTGTGTGCATTTCAGTCAGACAGAAAATTTGAATGTGAGACAGATGCACACTGCACTCCACATATCGGCTCCGTTATCTCCAATGGTGAGTCGCGAAAACTTTTTTCTTGAACAGTCCATTCTTCAAAGTGGGATTTGGGTCTTTTGAGAATTAAAATCATTTTCATCTCAAAATAAAGGCCTTAGCATTCCTTGAAAACAAACATGCAGCTCAACACCTTGCATGCTGAAGTTTTCAAGTCTGTTAGCACTCGGTGTGTCTGATGGACACGACTCTCAGCTACTACTACACCAAATTTCAGCTTAATATCTGTAAAACGGAGTGATAGCCATGTATGTGTTTGCTAAGGTTATTTAGCTGTGGTGGCCATCTTTAATAAAGTTGACAGTTTATTTCGTGGTAATTGCACATCTGGTAATTACCGAGAGTTTCACTGAAATTTGACCATGAGATATTTTACTAAGAGACAGACACACAAAGTCCCCCCCCCACACACACACACAACTAATTCTATTTGACATGATTAATGCCCTCCTCTTATGGCGGCAGGCAAAAATCATGTCAAATAGGACCACTTCTCCCTTAAGCTGACGTGGGGGCATTAAACTGAGCATTTTTATATTTTAAAGGTATAATTACGGGTCTTTGCCATAAGTCGTTGAACGAATCGAAGGGTACGTGTGAGATAGAAGGTTGGTGCCCAGCAGAGAACGACCAAGTCAAGATGTAAGACTTACACACACACACACACACACACACACACACACACACACACACACACACACA